TGTTTGCAGGCCAGCAGGGTGCGGCCAGATTTATTGTCTCTCCACTCACTGTTCAAGTGAGGGTTTGTGGAGGCAACGATGATACACAGACAACACTGAGGGCAGCTTCACCCCAGGGTTTCCTGGTCATTTACTGATTCCTAGTTGACCTAGCTTTCTGTGTTAGGATCTGAATGAGTCTGGTCCTCTGCCAACTCTGGGTCACCATGGCCTGCCTGCTCGCTCACGTGGCAGCGATTCAACACTGGATCTCCACAGGCCACTGAGATGAGATTTGTTTCCTCATTGATGCTAGGATCCACAGTGGTTGAGCCTGCATAAACCCAATTTAGATTATCAAAATATTTAGACATGTTTATCGGAATCCTTGTGTGGCTACTGTATACTGAAACTGAAATCTGTGGGAGTACTATTGACTGTAGTCATTCTGAACATTTATCAGGTCATCTTTGTTTTCAAAATGTAGTCTTGCAACCTTATATTAATTTAGACAAGGGGTACTCCACAGTGTACAATATGTCAGCTACTCATTTGGGGGTGCCAAACTGTATTATGTTGTTTCTTAGAAGCAGTATTTCTCTGCGTTCACCATCTGACTCAAGAGATTTAAGTTGTTCTTTGGGAATAACATCAACTGATTTATTCATTTGTCTGTCCTTTGCTCAAGTAGTGATAACTGTGCTTTGTCTATATCAACTAGTGCTGCTGAGTAACTAAAAGTTATAGAGAAAACTTTAGAGAGGAGGCTTTCCCCAGGTTCCAGGGATTAGAAGTTAAACAACCCATATATGATGCTGGTGTACAGAACACTTAACCCTAAAACACATGTCCTGATGGCTTTAACTTGCACCTTGCTCCTGGCTGTTGCATTTATCATGGTGCTCTCAGTAACTAGTTGCCTGGCTTTTTATGTGAGACTGGTGTAGTAATAATTAGTAATAATTGATGTACCTTGTAGAAATGTATAAGATTACGTGTTTATACTACATTCTTTGTGCCTAATTCATGAAAACCTGACTGGTAGTTTTATCTATGAAAACGTTTGCCCCCCAGTTGTCATTATTGCTCCATTGTATAATTGATGCCCCCTTCTGAACCTATTCATCATCATAATCCTCATCATCATCAGTAGGAGCAGCAGCCTGCTGTGCCAGGCAGCACAGTTGGTAAAAGGCCATTGATGACAATGAGAGAGGCTTTTCCCTCTGTGGTAACTGTGGCTGAGACAGTGGAGCAGTGTGCAGGTTAATCCCTTAATCTTCATTAGCATAGTTTGATAACCCGAGAGCCAAGTCGTTATTTGTGCTCAGCAAACTCAGTTTAACCTAGTAGCTACTCACCAGTGTTGCCTCTTCAGCAGCCACGAGCACCCGTAACAAATCGATTGATATAAGCAAGCACTAACATATAGCCATTGTAGCTGAATATTACAGAATATTGTTGAAAAAGTAGTTTAGTAGCCTGGGTACAGACCTCTGAATCATAGCACGCATCTCTGGTTTGTTTAGCAGTTCAACTGAATGAATGGAGAAACAAAATGATAATTGAGATTATTAGTCTAATCTATAATTGGGTAAAGAAATGTAGTTAGCTAGCATTAATGATACCGCCTACTTCTACGTACTGTCACATACTGTCATGTCAAACCTTGAATCAAAATTTGCTAAATGTCATACTTTGAGATTTAGGTTTCTCAGGAACTACCCCGTAAACACACTAGTTCAGGGGTAGTCGGTCATTGCCTGGAACTTTGGGTTATTAAAGGTTACGTCAGAGATGAACTAAGGCCATGCTATTTGGCATGTGTCACAGTATGCTCCAAGTTTTTACTCAAAACAACATCTTGGCTGACTTAGAGAATTGTTTGCAGTCTTAAAGGTTTGCTGCTGAGTTTTAGACCTCTAGTTGTGCCATGGAGCTGTTTTTCAATGAGTGCTCCCTTGTTTTGTTAATACGCACGTGATGCACTGTTACACTGATTGACAGGTGGTGGTTGCATGCCAACATACGTGTGCTGTGCGCCAGCAAAGGCAGGGTAGAAGAAGATTGCGAGCTAATTAACATAAACAATGCTGGATTTACAATACTTAAAGCTTTGAAAATGTTTTATTAGAGAGAGATACTCATACAAGTACATTTTGATGAGCAACACTAAATGTAAACATAACTTTGTTTGTTTACAGGTTAAACTCACAGAGCCCTTTTTAAATAAGGTTTTCAAACTAATAGAAAGAATGAAGCTGCTACCCTGCAATACATGTGCACAAAATAGGCTCATTCATTTATCTTCAAGGCAAGGTTTTATGCCTAAGATGATGACCCATTTTAACTTTGGTGGCTGATTTTTGTCTCCGAGTTGGATTCGTTGTCCACAAATGTTCTGCCAAGATTTCAGGCCTCTGTTTTCTCCTGTCTGCCGACAACATGGTGTCCGTTTTGTCCCACAGGAGGCTTTTCTGGCTGCCTCCGATTTGGCCTGCGCCCATACTGTCGGCTTTGGCAGTGTAATTTCCCCTGACAAGCTGATGGTTAGTGTTCATCCTGCCGGCCCAGTCAGTGTAATTTAGTTTGTGTTGAGAACGTCTGTTCCCATGTTGTGATTCTGTCTGATTTGTCTTGACTGTGTCATTTTGGTCACTGTCAGGGTCTCCACATTGAATGGATGTAATACTAGGTTGGTTACTCAGGCCTGTCCGTATTTTTTTCGGAAGTGGTGCTTGTTTCTCGTTCGTGACAGGTTCACATAGTCTTAGGCTATCTATTGTATAATCCATGTATATGGTGTCTCCATCACGGCACTGTTTTGGCATAGTGGTCTTAATTGTGATAACACTTTTCATAATGTAGGTTTAAAATTAGGGTTGGTAACATTGGAGAAACTAGCAAGAGATGGCTAGATATAAAGTATCTATCCCACCCCCTCCCTTGAGGCCTCCCTCCAAAGCCATTCCCCCAACAGTGCCTGACTACTGCTGGAGGACTAGTCCAGGAGAGAGCATTGGGGAGAGGAGCTCAGCATATTTTTGTCAGTGCTAACCATATCCAAGTACCTCATAATTCATTCATACATAGTTCTAACATTACACACTTCAGAAAATAACAAATTCCTTCCAAATTTTGGCTGCTCTTTCTCTGCCATTCTCATTCAACTAACTTGGTAGTTTTAGCAATGTTTGCGTGGCGGTCTTGTTGTGGAAGCAGGTAGGCTGACAGGTCAGCCAGCCAGTCACTTTTTTGAGTGCGAATGAAATAATTATCTGGCCTCATGACAGGGCAGTGACTGCAACGGATACTGGATTTGTTTTCTTTTTTTTCATAGCAATTGATGTATTGATTGTTGATGTAAAGAGAATTTCAACCAATATACCAAAAACGCTTTTGACAAACATTACCTCCTCCAACTTTAAGTGGGATGTTGACATCATGCTTAAATGAATAAGGAAGTCAGAAACTCCCCTATGTTAAAGTGGGCTGACTAAACACTGATACCCTCTATTGTCTGCTGTTGTGAGTATGTAAAAGTCTAGTCCTTAAATAAAATATGACCCCAACTTTTTCAAACTTCTTTTCCAGGAAAAAAAGCAGTGTTTAGGCCAATATAGTAGTGAATAAATGTATCTGGCGCTCTATCAGATAAAAAACAATGTAACTTAAAAGGTATGTATGTATGTATGTATGTATGATACAGAGTATATTAATAGCCTGTATGTATAATGTATCTTATTTTCTAAAGGAGGCTAGTGCGTGCATAGTTGGCTGCTGTAAATAAATGCTCCTACAATAGCATACAATAGTATGCAACAGCCCTTCCACTGCAGGCTTTACATGGTATTGTAGATGTTGGACAGCGTTTCCTTTGGATCTGTCTGGTTTTAGAAATAAAAATAGGCTGAATAGAGCAGAGCATTTTTACTTCCAATCTTGTGGTTTTTATTTCTGTGTTATTAGACAATGGCAATGGGGAGATGACAAAAAATAATGCAAGATAAACAAGATGACGAGCAGCAAAGGATGTGATTTGTATCTCCGAAAGATGTTAAAGGCATATATATGCTTTTATTTTAGTTAAACACCACCTGTAATTCAGTGACAGGTAATAAGGATGTTGGTCTGTCTGATGGCAAATCACTGTTTATTTAACTCCCTTTTACATCCCTTAAGTTCACTGTCACTTTTATTGCCATCATCGTGTTGGGTTTCTCTGCCACTGTTCTTGGCCTGCTTTGTCTGGCTTTATAATTGTCACAAGATTGTCTAGCCAGTCCCAAACAAAGCATCGGCCTGCTTCAGTTCACCTAGGAGGGAGATATTTAGGGGAGGGGGGTTAAAAAAGAAAACGTCATACAAACCCAAACACAGACTTACTCTTATACTCTGCTGCTGAAAGCCATTGTATGCTCTCTGTGATGCAAACCTCTAGTGACTTGCTTCCTACAAGACAGAGTGCTTGTCTACTCAATATTTTACAAGGAGAAACTCTTAAAACTGCTCTTCTGGCCTGTGATGGGACAGCGAGGATGAACAAGCTAATATGAGGGCAAAAAGACTGCAGTAATTACTCAAAGGACACTGTCAAGTTTTACAGCTAAGACAGAAATGGATAAATAATGAAATATTTCAGTTAGCTGCTTGGCTTTTAATAAAACGGTTATCAAAGAGAAGCCTAAGTAAAGCATAACAGTCTTGCCTAACATTACCACTGTAATTTTAAGTTTGTACTATCACTGAGAGATGAGTGAAGAAAGCACTATAAATATAGAATGTTAAGCAGGCAGGAGGCTAATGATGCACTAACATGCTGCATGACACACTGACAATGAGTAGGATGAAACACATTTCCCTCTACTGATGTGTTTGATATAAATAGAATACAAAGAATAAAGCGGCTTGTTGAAATTCTGTGTCATTTCTTTGAGTAAATATTAATTAGAAACATTACATACTAATACTAATTTGTGAAGGTCTGTCATTAACATCTGTCTGTATGTCTTCTCTTCTAGTCCTGTGTGCAAAGAACCTGGCAAAGAAAGACTTCTTCCGTAAGTAGAACCTATTTTTATTACATGTTGCTATTCCTGTCCCATTCCCTTGTGCATTAGAATGGGCTTTGTCAGCAGTGGCAGCTTGCTGGCTTTTGAAGCCAAGCTGTAAATGAAGTCCCTTAGGAGCTGTCTGTCTGTTATACACACTAGGAGACCTGGCACGCACAGGGACCCACCGCTAACCTAACTTCTAGTAATGGGTATCACATCCACTGGTACAGTATGACTAGACTTAATTAAAAAGCCTTTAATTAAACTGGACAGAAATATCGGCTTATTAAAACCAGCTCATGGCCAATTCTGAATGGAATAAACACAACCTTTAGTCAAAATCACCCTCTGATTTTGCCTTTTTTCATAAAAATATCACATGGCATGTCAAGTCACACAGATTTTTTAGTGGAGAAAAATACGTGGACTTGAATATTTTGGGCGAGTGGTACAAGTAGACCTTGTCCAGTACTGAAATGGGACTTGTTTGGAAAAACACAAGTGCACATACTAACTGTTGGAGGTCATTTGGAGAAGGAAGTAGTATTTTGTTTTCTTTATGGCTTCTAATTTACTATTAGTTAACGGTTAGCTTGAGGCTGTTTCATCAACCTCTGTTTAGGTGATCAGGACAGGATGCCTAACCTCTGCCACTGGCTTTAATGTAAGAGCAGATGTATTATTTAGTTCCTCTGAGAAATTTTCACACACACGCACACGCACACGCACACACACACAAACACTTCTTAGCAACACACATCGTTTATCTAATTGCCTGTTATGGTCATAGTAAAAGCCTTATTGCAACAGTAGTTTGGTGTTTATTTAGGAGTTTGGTTCTCTATTAACCTGAAAGTCATGGTTACAGACAATACAGACAGACAACACGCACATCGTACATACACACACAACCGCAAGAGAGGGAAGTCCTACGAAAGTATTAGGGTGGCTGAACTGGTTTGACTTGCGTGAAGTATCGGTGCTCAGAGCTATATTTAAAATACACCTACATGCATGCACGGTCACACTGAGTACACTAGATAAACGCACTAGAAAAAATCCTGTATCACATTTCCATCTAAATACGATACTGTGAAAAGACTTGCCCTATAGTTATTAGAGTAGAGTAAAGCTTTAATAGCCCCAAGGAGCCATTTGGCTTACAGACAGCAGTCAATAATACTAAACACAAACAATACAACAATTAATAAAGCTGGCAGTCAATACAATACACATATACATCAAATATATATATAAATAAACACCAGTACACAGGTTTACACCAATGTCACTGTTGTCATTGTCACGTCACCAAAACCCCTCAGAGAAAAAAGTTAAACTAAGTAAAGTTTAATGATTCCCAAATATTTGTACTGCTGGGTTGCAGTCACAGGCTCCACTCTAAGGATTGTAGGAGCAAAAAGAAGTAGGTCTCTTGAGTGTCAATGACACTATTTGGTCTTCGACACGTTCAGATGTAGGAAAGATTGTTCACATCAATTGACAAATTCTCCTACCAAAGGGCCATGACTCTGTTCTTTGCAGAAGGCTAATAACTACAGAGTCTCTATAAGTCTGACAGTCCTAAGCCTGATAATCAACAACTTTCGTGATGTGACTTTAGTCACAGTAGATTCCATCCAAATTGTAGTTACCTTCTGCTGTTCCAAATAAGATTGAATTATATATAAGAAAATTACAGTTTGTCTAGGACAGCTTTTCA